ACCTCTCTCTCTCTCTCTCTCTCTCGCTCTCTCAGTAAGCTTAATTTTATCTTTTTTTATCGTTGAGAAAATAAATCTAATTTTTCAAGCAATTAAAAGTTTACTGTTTCATACAAAGTTACGTTATCCTAACTTTTAATCGATGAGAAAAATCTAAAATAAGTATTAATCAATCATTAGTCTTGTTGTTGTAATTTTGTGCATCCAACTAGCCATCTTAATCTCACGCGAGTGTGGCCAAAATACATATGTTTTTGGTTGCCATAGTCATATGTGGTCCGAAAGCTTACAAGAAAAAGAAAGCTTTAGATGTGAGAGAGAGAGAGAGAGAGAGAGAGAGAGAGAGAGAGAGTTGATTTAGTGCATCCTAGAAGATAAAAGACGACAGGGACATTTGTCATGTGGTGGAGATAGACATGATCATGAAGGTGTTTTGGCATAGCACTAGCCTAGTCACCATCATCACCCACCACCATGGCCATGCATGTTGATAACATGGGAACAGAAGGTTTGATGGTGGGAAGGTAATGTCTCCATGCATTGAAATGTGGTACTGTATTCTGGTGCATGTTACACATGGGTGGCTAATTCTACCCTTTTCTTTTAATTATAAATCTATTGAATTTAGATGGCACAAAATTATTCAAGATTATTGTTTTTGTTAGTGTTATTTTTAGGTGCAGCTGAATACCCCAATTTTGATTTTTTTTTTAACTTAGAATACATAAGCATAATGGAAGCTTTTATTATTATTATTATTATTATTATTATTATTATTATTATTATTATTATTATTATTATTATTATTATAAGAGAACCATCATCGAATGAAATGGTTGGTATGAGATGGGACTGGAGGAAGAAATAAAGGGTGAGACATGCTTAGTCCTTATTTGTATTAATCATGCAGGATGAAAGCGTTGAATAATGAATTTTGATATTAAAATTAATTGATAAATTTATTGAATTAATATACTTTTCTGATAAGTAACATAGAAATTTTTTTAATCATGGACTTATCATTGAAAAGCTAGCTTTGAGTCAGACATTACATCAAGAAATTATCAAATTGAAAATTAGATGTAAAGCGGAAGGATTAAATTTTGTATTATAGGTTTAGGCATTATACTAGAATGATCGAATATTACATCGAAAAATTAGATATCATTAAAAATTTGATATGTTGGTGGAACGAGCGATATGTTAAAGGAAAATATGATGTGTCAAAGATTTAAACGAAGTATCGAAAGATCGAACGATATGTTAAAAGAGAGTACAAAATGCCATAAGCTTCGTAAATGTGTCGGATATGTTGTTGATTTGTTAAAATTTTGATAAGGTCATTTTGGATCAATTTAAGTTAGTATTGGGTTGCAATAATATCAACTTGTCAAGAAAGCCATTAGGCTTAAAGTTTGATCAAATTAGGCTTTTTAGAAAGCTAAATTGGTTGCTTAAAATAAGCTTGGGCAATGGTACCATTAGGCCTAAACAATAGTACTGTCTAAGTTAGTCAAAAAGCATTGTTTGTTATTGTTAGTCTTTCCAATGATCGTATCGTTTATGATACGGTTGTATCACCTATCACGATAGTAGTACTGTCTAGGACGATGATAATAGTACTCAGAATTTAAATTTTATGATAGTAGTACTGCCTATCACGATAGTAGTTCAAAATTATGATGTCAAAAGTTGTGATAGTGGTACCGCCCATTGCCAATGGTAGTATCGCCCATATCCCAAAATTTTAAATATTTAAATTTTTTA